GTATTTGGAATAGTTTGAGAAAAAGGGAATGAAATATCTGAGAATGGCATATAATTCACTCACCAAGTATTTTCACAAGTCATCTCTAATGGTAACTATAAGTTTGGGTGGTGTCCAGACTATCATCAACACATTTATTTCAACCTCTGTACAGAGTCATTACATGATGTAAATGTATAGCATGTCAAGTTGCTTTTTCAGTTGATCAAATTATTATCATCTCTGCAGACAGTTACTAGTGTATTGTTTGTGTACTTTTTGCTCAAAAGTAGCTAGTCGTATTACTATTTTTTACTTCCTTAAATGTCAATGGTAAATATGATTGTCTTGTGTATGCAAGTATCAGCAGTTTGAGAACATTTATTTCTAATTTTATACTGTCTTTAATAATGTAAGCTGCTTTAAAAGGCGACGGTCATCGTGCCGCGTCCTGTTCGATATGGGACGTATACAACGAGTGTAAAATACATTGTTTATTTACATTACATTCGAACACGTGCTGCTTGGCGACCACCACGCTTTAATTTCAATTATTTGTGAATTTTGCGAGCCAGTGAAAATTTCTCTTGTATTGTATGACAAGGAGTGTCAGTAACTTTCACAAAATTTTGTCTTAACAAAATGGTTTAAAATCCTGAAATTGCAAACATTTTTAGCAGTGAAAATTAAATGATGTACAGTATTTATACTTGTTATACTAGTTTAGTTATGTTTTTTTTTAGTTCTAACACTGTAACCACTGCAGTGTTTATTTTCACGTAATGCACATTTATGAACGCTCAGGATTTAGAATTATAAATCATTAACTGTAATTTTAGCTTCATCCTGTATTTCCTCTCATCAAAAGTACTACAATTTAGCTAATTTAGCAAAACTTAATAATAGTACTTACTCAACTGTATTTGATACTAATTTTAATGAAGATATTATTTTCCAAATTAAAGCAAAGAGTTGAGTCTGCTAACATTTCATGCAGCTAAATGTAGTTTATAAGTTAATACAAATGAGGGTGTGATTTGTGTGGTTAATTAATATGCAAATTAGCTATTATTAAATGTAATCTTATTTTCATCTCGATAAGCATTCAAGTGATTGAAATATTGTAGGGACTGTTGCTGAATCATATTGACATGAATAATTAATATACAACTCATAATAGTAACCACATACACTTGTACATTATGACTGTTCAGCCTTTTAATAATTATAATGTGGTTTTCAAACCTTAAATTGAAATCTAACAAAAAATTATGCTACCAGTAAAAAAACCAAAACGCTAATAAGAAATCAGTTTCATTGACATTCTTGAAGTTATTTTCATTATTGGCAACTTGCCAGATATATGTAGACAATCTAACCAACACAGGCAGCCATAGTGATTTTTTCCCCTTGAACAGGGGGTCACAATTGACTAGCTAGATGTCTCAAGGAGGCTTCATAAAGGTATTTGATTCAACTTAAAAAACAGGCAACTAGCAACATTGAATGGATTACGGTAACATTCATGTCATTATTGTGCTGAAAACCAGGTAATGATTGTCTTCATCAATTTGAGAATTTGAGAATTTTCAGATTTTCTTGTTGTTTCCAATCCTTCTATAAAATGCTCTTCTTATGTGATGATGACTTGAATGAAGTAGATGATGAGGCCGCTAGTCGGCAACTGTCTTGTAGCCCTCATGTTCAAATCGTCTAATCTTAAGCTTTAATCAAGTTGGCCTATTCAATTTACTAATATTACTATTAGTACACGAAATGATGATGACAAGATACTCTCTGTCAATGGCACATCATCAAGACAGAACAGTGTGTATAAATTCCTAATGGCTGCCTCAGTCCCTGTGTATATATATATACATTAAATAAATGTCACAGTAAATTATATGTACTTTTTATATGATCTGTACAACGATAAGCTATTAATGTCAATATTTAGTTGATAATTGACATGTGATTTAATAATCTTTCATTGACTTGACCTTCAGTTTAGAATGATATTATATGCAATGATTTTGTGATGTAAGATTCATGTGCTGTATAATCAAGGTTACTGTGTCTGATAGTGTAATAAAACCTGTCTACAATGTCACTGATCTGACTATCTTTGGTTACTGAGTTATTAAGCATATGCTATTAGTGTGTAAAATATGTTCTTATTGTTATTAGTTAATTGGTAGAATACCTATCATGCCAAGTCACTCTAGAAATAATATGGTGTTGTCAGGGAGGAACAAACTAGTCTCTAGGAAATATGTGAGACTTGTTA